ATATAAAGATGTACTTCTTTCTTATTATATCTACAAAATGATTTTAGGACAGATTTGGGATGATAATATGAACTGTTATAAAACAAACTAAGTAAATTATGATTATCTTGTAAAACATGAATGAATAAAAGTATAGTCAAATGATTGATTAATAATGATACTAAGGTATTTAATTTTTGATTGAAAATATGAGATTATATGCAATGTAATTGTAATTGAAGACTACGAAATGGAAGCACAAAACAATTTGTAAACCAACCGGCACACTGTATGTACATATATGGAAGATGGTTTGATGTTTTTATGTTTTGTTTGTTTATGTTTGTTTTTAAAAACCAATAAAAACTTTTAAAAAAAGAATTCCTTAATGTTTTATTGATCTGCATATACTCCAAATCTATTCATGCTTCTTGGGAAATGAGCAGTTTTGTAATTTATTTGTTTAGAATAATGTTTCTATACTGCCCAATTGCAAAACTAACTGCAACCTAAGTCCACCATCTACATAAAAAACTCATTGGAACAATCTGGCTTTCAGAAAAAAAAAACACGGACAAGATGGACATTCATTCTACCTCCCAGTACAAAATATTTTTTCTACTAAAAATGACCCAGTTACTTTAAACTGATATGAAATGGGTATCCTGACAAGCCTCCTGAGAATCAATGCAGAGTTATGCTTAGGAGAGACAATCCTGCATATGCACACCAAGCCACGTATGACTTTAAACGTTAAAAACATATCTTGGAAGTTATCAGAATTCATTGCAGCAATTTCAACATACACATCACACAATTAAACTTACTCCCCCAAGCTGCAGCCAAGGTGCTGCATCCAGACCCAACGGTACTTCTGAGTTACGTTTTAAGACCAGACCCTTGGAGGCAGCTTTATAACAGTCCAACCACAAAGGTTATAGAATATACTGTACACTCCAAGACAATGCATTTAGTGCATGTACAGTAAATCGCTATTAGAAATGTAACAAGTCAGGAACAAGAACACCCTCAAATTTCCCTAGCTAGCATAACTTGGGTTTCTGATAAGGCATATTAATTCTGTCATTTTGCAAAAAAAAAAAAAATGTTTACTTACCTCTTTTTGTATAGTCAGCTTTACTTTAAGTCTTTTAGAGTGTGGTTCAGTCCATACAAATCCTGCATCAATCAACCGAACCTGATAGGAGGAAATAGCATGATTATCTATGAATACTCAAAAAGGCAAAACATAACAGAGACGGAAACATATTTACTCAACAGTTTCAGCTTTTAACTAATGTTACCATGTGTCAAAGTATATGTGGTTTCTGTACATTTAAAAATAAACTCAGTGTATGTTATATTAACTTTACTTAAATAATTTGTTTCAAGTGTGTTGGCACACAGCAACTAGGAATTCTAGATTTTGGAAATAGTGCAAAGTTGAAAAAAGACTGAGAGACATTTCTGGATACTGACACTTGAATTTTTAGTTCAAGAGTGATAGCAGTATCCAGTCTAAGTAAAATTCATACAAAAATAAACATATGTATGACTAACCTTATTAAGAGAAGCCTTAATTTTTTTAAGGCATAATGAAAGAAGTTCTCTTGATTCCAAAGCACACTGTAGCCAAGCTGCTGGTGGTTGAAGATATCTGAAATATAAAGAAAGAGAAAAAAAAATTAACTGAACCATTTATTTTTAAGGCAACTGCCCTCCCTACCCCAGCAGTCAGTTTTGATAACATAACGCATAATATTTTTTATTAAACATAAAAATATGTTTTAGGGTCATGGACATCAGCAGCACATTAGTAAAGACTAATTTTATTAATTTCAATGAAAAAAAAACATAACTTACAGTACGATCTTAAAAAGTTCCACTGAATTCACAAAGTTTATTTTAGTTTTTAACTACATTATTTGAATCTAAATCCGACCAAGGATACAATCAACATGCTTTTCTATCAGCAATGTACTCCATTACATAAACCTTTGTATTTAAATTCAGAACTTAATTTACTCTGGATGAATATGGTGATAACGAGGGCAATGATTTTATTAATTTGATTTGTTTGCTGCTTATCTCGCTTTGAGATAACTCATCATTATACCATGTTTCTACTTAGCTTGAGGAAGCAAGGCAAAGCTAGGAAATTGAGAAGTGCAAATGTCAAAACACAAAAATTCCTGACATAAATTAAAGCTAGTTGTATAAAATACAGGGTGGTCCATTCCAGGGGTGTTTGTCCATTTCTCAAAATGTATCTTCTACAGCAGAAATAATTTGTGATGCTTTGAATGCAGTTTCTAATTAAATACCTATACTAACTAACAAATAGAAGCCTGGTGAAAGAGAGACATCTGTTGCCCTTTTAAAGACCAAAATGTGCCTAGTATAAGTACACATGGATTTGTAATTGATGTATGCATAAATATATCCTATGGTTTTAAAAAATAAAAATTGTGATTTGAATTCCAAAATATACAGATGGTCTTTTGCTTTGTAACCACCCTGTTTAATGACTGTTCAAGTTACAATGGTGCTGAAAAGTAACTTTACAATCGGACTTTGCACTTGTGATCATCATAGCATACCTGCGGTTATATGGTTGAAACAGGGTGCTTCATAACTGGTAGGAATTTATGACCAGTAGAGTATTGTCAAATCATAGGATTGCAATTTGCACACCTCAAGCTGGCTTCAAGCAAGCAAAATCAATGGAGGAGCCAGCAGTACAATTGCACGTTATGGTCATGTGACATCTTGCTTATGACCAGCTGTGATTCACTTAATGATGGAAATGAAGTTATAAGCCTGCTGCGATCAAGTCATGTTTTGCTTAGTGGTGGAATTACAGGTCTCAATTGTGGTTGTTCAGTGAAGACTACCTGTATTGTGTTACAGGAAACGGTGCCAGGTGTGTTATGATTCAGCAGAAGTGAAATCCAAAACACACTGGCTGTTTCAGGTGTTGGCCAAAACAAAATCTGTAAGAGTATTATTGGCAATGGACTTTCCTCTTCTGCATGCCTGATAAAATCAATCTGCTCTCCTATTTACTAGCCCATTTCTTTTCCCCCCCCCCAGCGGCTGCCAAAGTTGGCTTCAAGCAAGGTTAGCATTCCAACCAGCCTATCTATCTATCTATCATCTATCTATCTATCTATCTATCTATCTATCTATCTATCTATCTATC